TATATTTATATACAAAATTTATATACATTGTGTTTCATTGATGTGCATTGTGCTTCATGCATTCCTTCATTCACATTGTGTTTCATGCAATCATTTTTATACCTTTTGTTTTTATACATTGTGTTTTAGAAAATCAATCACCATTGATCTATGCCTGCCATTACCCTATCTTTTCAGGTCCAAATTGGATCTTTTCCATTTGTTCACACCCCACCCCCCACCCCTATGCACCCACCAAACTTGTGTACCTAATGATTCCCTCCCTCCCCATTTTCTGTCCCTTTGGCCCTCACCTCTTCCTCTTTTGGACTTTTATTCACACCCTTACTAGTTATCCTTCTATTTTTACAATAGTGATGTTATGCAGTATTGTCCAGTGTTCACTAAGCATAATGTTCTTTATACTTTTCCGTGTTATAAAGTATTTTGCAAAATCATTGCTCCTTAGTGCTGCATATAGTAATCCATTGTGCGAATGTACCAAAATTTCTCAATGCATTAGTTTGTTGATGGGCATTTGAGCTGTTTCCACTTACTTGTTAATGTGAATCACACTGCTATAAACATAGGTATACAAATCTCTATTTGTTTATCAGTTTTATTTTCAGTGGGATAGATTCCTAGCAGTGGAATAGCTGGGTCACATTCAACAATACTACCAGCAGTGTGTAAGAGTTCCAGTCTTTCTACATCCTCTCCAACATTTATTGCTTGCTGTCCTGTTAAACTTTGCACTGCCAGTGGGGTGAGACAGTTTCTCATTGTGGTTTTGATTTCCGTCTCTCTGATTGCCTGTGATTTTGAGCATTTTTTTATGTGTCTTTGGCCATCTGAATGTCTTTTCTTGTGAACAGTCTTCCCATGTCTTTTGCCCATTTTGTGATTGAGTTATCAACTTTATTCTTGTGTTATATTTTGTAAATTTTCATTATGAGACCTGTTGGAGATATTATTGCCAAATTTTCCCCCCCACTCTGTAGGTTTTCTTTTTACTCCATAGAAAAAGTTTTTTTTGATACAAACAGTGATTTAATATTTTTAGAGCATCCCATTTGTCCATTTTATCCCCTCCTGGTTATGCATTTCTGGCTATATACCATAGAGTAGTGCTTCTAAGATTAGTCCTATTTTGTCTTTTACAATATTTAAGGTTTTGAGCTTTAATCCTAGGTTTCTTCTGATCCACTTTGAGTTGATTTTTGTGTATAGTGAGTTGAGAATCCTGCTTCAGCTTTCTCTAGGTAGATGTCCAGTGTTGCCAGCACCATTTGTTAAAGGGCTTATCATTTCTCCATTCAATACATGTTTCCATGTCAGTTAAGTAGCAATTGGTCATAGGTGGATGGGTTATTTTCTGGATTCTTTATTCCATTCCATTGGTCTTGTGTCTCTCAGTGTACCAATGCCAAGCTATTTTGGTTACTATGGCTGTGGCATAGATCTTGAGTAAAACATAACTTTAAATGGTATAATGAAGTAGGAAGTTTATTTGGTTTGTATAATTGAGGGGTACTGAAAGTAGTAGTATATATAGGAAATAATTTGTTTTATAAATAATACATGAATGAATTTGGTTTTTTCATTATGTTCATATGTTTATGTTTCTGTAAAACCTCATTAAGAGGGAAATTAATTTTTAATACTAACATTTCTACAGTTTTCTCAGACTTTCTAGAAAAAATTATTTACTGGATTAAAAGTTTTCTTAATATTTCTCCAATATAGAGTGCATTCCTTGGCAACACTTGTTAGAGTAAGCTTAATGGTATGCTTACTCTGGGAGGTCTTTCCCAATTTAACAGTTTTGTGATTTCATGATTTTCTGGTGGCCAGAAATTATAGTTATGTTTTTAGCTTTAGAATTATTCAAGTCTTAAAAAAAAAAAAGAATTATTCAAGTCTTAGTTTTAGAATTATGCAAATATAACTGACGTACATATTATATATGTGTGTATGTGTGTGTGTGTGTGTGTGTGTGTGTGTATAAAAATATGTAATTTCCAACTATGTATATAATTCTCTTTTGGCTTCATATATCTTTAACCCATTATCCTTATTGTTTGTTGTTCTGTGCTCTCGTCTTTCTCCTCTCACCTTTTGTCCTCCTTTCCTCTCCTTCTTCCTGGACATTTCCCCCTCTCCCTTGTTTCCTCTTTTCCTCTCTAATGAAAACTTGACTCTTGATCTCCATTGTCAGGTCTTTACAGATATAAACATGACAAGGTTATAATGTCAATTATATCTAACTTCCACACTATCAACAAAATTATTAATATTCTAAAATATTTATTATTTTTAGATTACTATGATTGACAAATTTTACTTTCCTTTAAAAAAAGGAGTATATGAGCTACAAGATGATTACTAGAAGTTCTTGCTTGAGAAGTCCTTGCAGTTAGTTTTCCCAGGATACCACTACAGTATCCTTAGTTTGATTTTTTTATTAATTATTATGTAATACTATCATTAGGGTACAGTTATTTAATTACATTTTGAGTTTTACTAACAAATGTCAAGAAATTTCTGCCCGTGTTTAGTACAATTTTTACTTTCAGGAACTTTACAAGGTTTTCAATGTTAAAAAGTAGTATCTTTACCAATCATTATCCTGTGGACAATCTTTTCAAGGCTTTGAGTCCATCTAAATAAATGTTTTCTGACTGTAGGGACTTGATTATCACTTTTTTTCTTTCCTCCAAGGTCTCACGGATTCTAGCAATTGTTGTTTTAAAGGCTTTAAAATTAAAGTCCTATTCACTTCTGGGATTTGACACTATCTCAGTAGGAAAAAGTGTATCCAAGGGCATCATGAGCTAATGGTATTTCTCATTTATTACTTTGAGACAGCCCTCATATGGTAAGGCCATTTTGAAGTTCATTTTTGTCTCAAAGGCATGTCAACTTTTGTAAGCATTCTCTAATTGGTTCTCATCCAGGAAAGGCAATAAATAGACTCTTGGAATGTCTTGCTTATTTC